CTATATATATTCATATTCAGAATGCAAGGCCGGGCCTGTGAGCTGCCTCAGTGGATAAAGGTCACCACCAGGACTGACCTGAGTTTGATCCCTGGGGCCCACATGGAGGTAGGTGAGCACTAACTACTGAAGGTTGTCCCCTGACCTCCATATGTGAACTATTACACACACACCTATCAATCAATCAATCAATCAATAGAAAACAAGGCTGAGGTTGATTCAAATCCTTTCTCCATAATTGATTTTGCCTTGAAAAAAAAAATGGATTGATCCTAAATGTATCCAAACTGCAGAAAAGCAATTTTCTCTTGGTAGTGAATATGAACATGCAATTTCTTCAACTAGAAGAGAACTTTCAAAATAAAAGCATTTCTGTAGTCTGGATTTAGTGTACCTAATAACTCCTGTCATTTCATGTCACTGCCAAAACATTAAAGGAAGATGCCATCCCTCACCCAATCGCCCATGGCAATACTAAAAGGAAAACAGCTAAGTGCCTTAAAACCTTACAGTGAATCACCACAAAGCTCATCCACTTCTGCTACCGATTCTCCTGATCCCCAGGGATAAGGAAATTGGGACAAGTATTTGATTCTTGTCCCAACTCTGCCACCTACAGGACAAGACTAGAAAAGTTGACCATGCCTCCAAAAGCTACTCAAGAAGGTGAAGCTACTTAAACATAGCACTGTTGCTATGTTTAAGATGACTTCCGGTTCTAGTTGCACAGGCCTACACATATGCCTATCACAGAAGATGGACAACACCTTCCAAATAATTATATAAAACTTGTGTCTGGGACTAGCGAGATGGCTCAGCCAGTAAAAGCCTTGCCACAAGCCTGACAAGCAGAGTTCCAGCCTGAGACTCAAACAGTGAAATGAGAGAACGGACCATCCTCTGACCTGCTCCATGGTATACACACACACACACACACACACACACACACACAATAAAGAAATAAATGGAATCATTAAAATTAGGAACTGGAACCAGGTGTGCGAGTGCACACCTTTAATACTGGGCCAGAGAAAGGTGGATCACTGGGTTCGAGGCCAGACTGGTCTACAGAGTGAGTTCCAGGACAGCCAGTGCTACATAGGGAAACCCTGTCTTGAGAAATCAAGTGTGTGCATATGTGTGTGTTGGGACTGGAGTGATGGCTCAGCAGTTAAGAGCACCATTTGTTCTTCCATAGGATCTGGGTTCAATTCCTAGCACCCACAAGATGGCTCACAACCAACTGTTTCAGTTCTAGGGGATCCAATGCCCTCTCCTCACAAGGTACACAGACATACATGCAGGCAACCATACCCATTCTCGTGAAAATAAATACTTTCTTTAAAAATTAAACTGGCAGTTATACAGCAACCCGATGACAAATGATAAAAGACTTTTGTCTTTTAGGTTATTTTAAGAAAATAAAGAGCAGAACACAGACATTGTAGAGTGAGAGTTCTCTGTCATAGAGTATGAACACATGCCGGACATGTGTCTTGGTTTTGGCAGGCATCATCTTGAGTGCCTGTGCTGACTAGTTTTCTGTCAATTGGACACAAGCTAGAATCACCTGGGAAGAGGGAACCTCTGTTGAGAAAACGCTCTCTAAGACTGGCGTGCAGGCAAGCTCGTAAGGCTTTTTCTCTCAGTGACGGAGTGTGACCTGAGACTTGTAAGCTAAAAGAAACTCTTCCCTCCTTACATTGCTTTTAGGCAGGATAGACAGTACCTCAGGCACCAGAGAGGGTCTTTCCTCCAGCTTCACAAGGCTGTGGCCATGAGCCTCTCCGATGCCAAAATCAACCTTTGCTATGGTAACAGATGATTTTCGGGCACCAGCCTCACCCTAAGGCAGACCCACCTACAGAGGGGAGAAAACAAGAGAACTAGAAGAAAGACTGCCCTCATAGGGCCAGAGGTTGACCAACTGAGCAATCCTGTTCTGACTGGATCCTAATATTCCAGGCACTCGATGCCTGGCTAGAAACAATCAACACACACATGCACACACACGCACGCGCGTGCGCACACACACACGCACATGTGCACGCACGCACGCGCGCGCACACACACACGCTTAAAAATAATGAATATTGGCCAGGCATTGGTGGCGCACGCCTTTAATCCCAGTACTCAGGAGGCAGAGGCAAGCAGATCTCTGTGAGTTCGAGACCAGCTAGTTCCAGGACAGCCTCCAAAGCCACAGAGAAACCCTGTCTTGAAAAAAAAAAAAAGTACAGATCTTGGATTGATGGGGCTCAGAGCAGAGACTGTGGAGTGAAGCGGGCCTGGATCTAAACCTTCATGATCTACTAGGTGAACAGCTCAGGGATATCACATAACTGTCCACATCGCAGTTTTTTAAAAAGTAAATAGATTAACAGCAACTACTTCATCGCTTTCCTAAGAGCTCACATGATATGCCAAGAACCGTTGTCATCAGTCTTCCCAGCTGTGGGCTGTGTGGACTGCAATTGAAAAAACAAATCCAGTCTGGTAAGATATGGTCACCTGTGCAACAGTGGCCCCAATGCTATGGGAGTAACCACTTTCTGATTGAATTTAAGGCCTGCTCCAGAAGACAGCACTCATGCCTGGCACCATTAGTCAAGAACCCGTGGTTAGAGAGAGCCTACTACTGCTATTCTGCTAAATGGAAGTAGTATCAAAATGACTCCTAAACACTCACTGTTACCCCTAGAGACTGGTGTGTCACTCAACCCCAGTCAGAGAAGCTGCTTTTTGCAGTACATGGTTATCAGCACAGAGACACAAAACTAGTCAATTTGCAGGCTGAGCACTGAATGGGACCTGTATATCAAACCCCCTCCTCCAAGGCTCATGGATTATCATGGAAGAGGAGGCAAAAAGATTATAGAAGCCAGAGGCAATGGATGACTACAGCAACATGGTGTTCTCTGAATCCAACAAGGCAGTTGCACATATGAACACACAGTGGGTTCTCCACAAGATCAAGTCAGTCAAAATCCCAGCATGGAGAGAGGAAGACGTCAGTAAGCTCCACCCTTAGCTAAAAGCAATTGGCAATTGGTGGCTGCTGGGAGGACGGTCGGGTTTTTGTGGGGGGAGGGGGGTGTACAGCCCTTGAGAGGCTACCCATTTTCCAGTGGATGATCCTACACCCATGCATATACTGGCAACACTAAGTGAATTTATTTTTTGTGTATAGGGGTGTTTTACCTACATGTGTATCTTTGCACCACTTGAATGCCAGGTGCCCACAGAGATCAGAAAAATCAGATGCCATGGAACTAGATGGCTGTGGACTGGCATGTGGGTGCTGGGAATCAAACCTTAACCACTGAGCTATGTCTCCAGCCCCCTGACTCAATGGTTTTAAAAAACAGTTCACACATTACATAATATCTATGTGTGTATGGGGGCCGGGGTTGACAGAGAAGGAATTGGAGGGAGGAATGGGAGGTGGACTTGATCAAAATACATTACATGCATGCTTGAAACTCTCGAAAGATATAAAAACACAGGGTTGGAGAGGTGGCTCAGAGGTTAAGAACGCTGACCTCTTCCAGAGGTCAATTCCCAGCAACTACATGGTGGCTTACAACCATCTGAAGTGAGATCTGGTGCTCTCTTCTGGCAAGTCAGAACACTCTACATACTAAATGAATAAATCTTTAAAAAAATATGTATATATACAAAAATATAACAAAAAGGCTAAGGTTGTGTATCATTTTTAAAATTTTGCATACACTCTGCTGGGCAGTGTCACACACCTTTAATCCCACACTGGGGAAGCACAGGCAGATGGATTTCTGATCTCTGTGGGTTTCAGGCAAGTCAGAGAGACAAAGTGAGACCCCACATCAAAAAAAGGAAAGGAAAGGAAAGACGCCATTACAGTCATCAATGGCATCGATGGAGGAGGATGCACAGCACGTATGTTGAGGTTGGAGACAGTTGGATGGAACCAATCTTTCCTTCTACCACGTAGGTCCTGGGCATCAAACTCAGGTCATCAAACTTGGTGACAAGCACTTTTCATGCTGAGCCATCTCACTGGCCATAAAACAGATTTCTTTTTTTTTTTTTTTTTTTTTTTTGGTTTTTCGAGACAGCGTTTCTCTGTGGCTTTGGAGGCTGTCCTGAAACTAGCTCTTGTAGACCAGGCTGCATAAAACAGATTTCTTCAGGGTTTAATATCATAAGTGTTTCATCCTTATCTCTATTATATATACACCTCTTACAATGGTATGAGTAAAAACTGTCCCCCAAAGGCTCCTGTATTTGAACGCTATTCCCCAGTTGGTGGCACTGGGGAGGCTGTGGAACCTGTAGGAGGTCCAGCCTTCCTGGAGGAAGTACATCACTGGGGAATTGGCTGTGAGAGTTTATAGCTTAGTCCATGTCCTACATTGGCTCTTGCTCCTTCTCCCCTCACCCCCCAACTTTCCCTCCCTGCAGATTAAAATGTGATCAGCCAGCTTCCTGCTCCGGCAGCCGATGTCTCCCATCAACATATGAACTCTAACCCCCTGGACCCATAACCCAAAATAAACCTTCCTTCCTTAAGCTGCTTTTGGTTATGGCATTTGTGGCAGCAATAGAAAAGTAATTACTATAGTTACATACCCCCAGTTACCTAGAAGTCTCTTGGGCAAAAAGGGGTCACAAGTAGAAAAAGCTTTTGAAGTTCTGGTTTAGATAGACTAGGACACCTAGAGCTATACTGCCGGGATCCAAGCCTGTAGAGCTGGGTTCAAATCCCAACCTGTTACAAAGTACCTGGCTTTGGGCAGATGACTTGATTTCAACCTGTCCTTTTAAAATAAAAGTCCTACCTCGGGCCGGGCGTTGATGGCGCACGCCTTTAATCCCAGCACTCGGGAGGCAGAGGCAGGCGAATCTCTGTGAGTTCGAGACCAGCCTGGACTACCAAGCGAGTTCCAGGACAGCCTCCAAAGCCACAGAGAAACCCTGTCTCGAAAAACCAAAAAAAAAAAAAAAAAAAAAAGTCCTACCTCGGAGGGCTGGTGAGTGAACAGCTGCAGGCAAAGATTTACAACAGGGCCTCCCAGGGCAGGTGTTGGCTGTCACTATGGGGCAATCAACAAACGCTTGGAAGCTCCTTCCAGGCCGCACAGTCTTCTGATAAGGGCCCAATCTTGTCTCCACTCCCAGGAGCCTGCTGCCATACCTGGTAGGGACCGGGCGGCACCTCTGTCGGAATGAGGAGATGGCGGTGGAGAATAAGCCTCGGTGTTCCCCTGCCCCCAATTTCTGTGGATCAGCCCTCACGCCAGCGCTGGGCTTGAGCCAAGCTCCTGTGGTCTTGAAAACCTGCCCTGCAGAGCGACCTCCTTCCTCATTACCTCCCTCTGCTCCACCACGTGACCACATCCCATCCTACGCTTGCTGTTTCTCTCAACATCGCTGCCAAAATCCAAGGCAGATATCATCTTGTCTCGGGGCTTTCCCCTCACTATCTCTTCTTCCGGGCGTAGAGTCCTGGTATCTATCACCTGTGCAGAATGTGTGTCACAGCCAATCAGAGTGAATCGCCTTATTACACAGATTTCAGATACCTTCACTGCCCTGAGGGGAAACCCAAGGACGATTTATCTATATACCATATTTTGAAATAAAAATCAATACAATGTCCTAATCATATGAGGAAGTACTAAACTAAAAATTAAATGAGGTCTGACTACAGGGCTCAGTGGGTAGTGGTGCTTGCTGTCAAGCCTGACGGCCTATCGATCCCCAGGTACGTTCCACATGCTGAAAGGAATAGATCGGACTCTTCCACGTTGTCTTTGATTACACACGCACCTGGTGGGGGAGAGGGGCGCGGGTAGTGCTTAATTGACAGACAGCTAAAGTGGGAACCAGAGCGGACACTAGATGGCAGCATTGAGCTCTAGCGTCAGTTTATGGAGGTGTTTGATTTTTGCAATGTTTGCTTGCTTGTTTTAAGCCTTTTTCTACATGTGGAACCCTTCTTGTGAAGGGTCCTGGAATAGAAATAAAAGTATAAATTTGTAAGCCTAAAAGAAGTGGGAGCTGGCATTCATCAGCTTTGTCTTTATCAGCAGCAAGGGACTAACTATTTTTTGGTTTTTCGAGAGAGGATTTCTTTGTATCGACCTGGAAGCTGTCCTGAAACTCGCGCTGTAGACCAGCCTGGCCTCGAACTCACAGAGATCCACCTGCCTCTGCCTCCCGAGTGCTGGGATTAAAGGCGTGCGCCACCATCGACAATGTCTTTTTGCCTTACACCTAGCACCTCTGTCAACAGGCAGGGGTTAACTTTTAACGATAGCCCACTGCCTCTTACAGTCGAAAACTGTCGCGAACCAAGGTTAACTTTTAGTAAATTGTCCCTACTGACTTTTGGCTTTACATTGTTTTGTATCCTTCCCTGCTATGGGAAACCGGTTATGCCAGAAAAGTTGTAAAGTCCTTTACAAATACTATTAGTTGGGAAGTAATTCTGCAAGCCAAAGTAAACACCATTTTAGCAGAAACCTTGTTATCGAAATTTGTAAATCTTTTTTTTTGCTTGTTTGTTTTTCGAGACGGGGTTTCTCTGTTTAGCTTTGGTGCCTATCCTGGCAATCGCTCTTTAGACCAGGCTGGCCTCGAACTCACAGAGAACCGTCTGCCTCTGCCTCCGGAGTGCTCCCGAGTGAGCACCGTCAACACCCGGACTAAATTTGTAAATCTTAAAATACAAAATGTCTCTAAGCTTTTCCTCGAAATTGTAAAAATTCCTTTGTCTATGTTTAATGTTTACTTCTTGGTATAAAAAAGGGGGTCAGAACACACCCTGTTGCCATAGTTTCCGAAGCCAGAACTCAGCCCGTGGTCTAGATTAGCTGATAAGCTTTTTGTGCCCCACGGTGGGTTTTGTTTTGTTTCTGGAATAAAGTTTGCTTAAGGCTGGAATAAAGTTTCATAGATTTTGGTGGTCGATCCCCCATCATTACACGACCCCACCCAACAATTTGAATGTCTGTTTATTTCCTGATGAGTGCTTTACCCTCTGACCACCTCAGAATATCTTAATGTTCAAACTGTGAAATGAATTATCCACAATTACAAAAAAAACCTTGAGTTGCTCCGAAGTTATTTTAATTAAAAAATAATCTGTGCCTAGGTTTGAGCACAGAAAAACATAAAAATGTGATAAACACATTAAATATCTTACACAGAGGCAAGACTAGTGATTCTAAGCATTTAGAAGTCATGGAGAAAGTGTCCCAGGTGTCTGTGACAGCCTTCATGAGATACAAAAATACCCATTGTCTGTCTCAAGTCAAAACTCAAATCCTGCTCAGCCATCTGCACTTTTAATGGTTCGTCAGAACAATTAAATGTTGCCTAGAGGTTTGTACTGATAAAGAGGTTCAATTTTACCTCCAACTTATAAATGTTTAGTTCCCAGCGGGCGGTGGTGGCACAGGCCTTTAATCCCAGCACTCGGGAGGCAGAGGCAGGCGGATCTCTGTGAGTTCAAGGTCGGGCTGGACCGACAGCCTCCAAAACAATACAGAGAAACCCTGTCTCATAAAACAAAACAAAACAAAAAAAAAATGTTTAGTTCCCACAGCCCTGGCAGTTCAGATGTTCCTGTCTCTCTTATGCATCTACCTATTGTGGAAAACTTGTTTGCACTGTGTCTATACCAAGACACCTTCTGATTGGTTTAATAAAGAGCTAATGGTCAATAACTAGGCAGGAAGGAGGTTAGGTGGGACTTCCGGGGACAGAAAGGCCTCTAGGAAGAAGAAAGGTGGGGTCCAGCCAGCACAGAGGAAGCAGGATGGGCAGTATGGAAAGATAAGGTATCGAGCCACTCGACTGAATGTAGATTTAAAAATATGGGTTAATGCCAGGTCATGGTGGCACACAGCTTTAATCCCAGCTCTCAGAAGACAGAGGCAGGTGAATCTCTGTGAGTTGGAGGCCAACCTGGTCTACAAAGCCAGTTCCAGGACAGACTCCAAAACTACACAGAGGAAACCCTGCCTCAAAAACAAACAAAAAAATGTGTTAGTTTACGTTAGAAGAACTACTTAGGGAGCTAGAGAAATAGCTTGAAGGTTAAGAGCACTGGATGCTCTTCCAGAGGACCTGACTTAATTCCCAGCCACATGGAGGCTCACAACTATCTATAATAAGATCTTGTGCCCTTTTCTGGTGTGCAGGCAACATGCAGGCAGGATACCGTAAATATAAATAAATAAATCGTTTTAAAAGGGGGAGCTGGAGAGATGGTTCAGTGAACACTGGCCGCTCTTCCAAAGGACCTTGAGTTCTTCCCAGCAACCACAGAACCCACACAAACAAGCATACACCACACATACACACAAACAGTCCTCTGAGAGTCAAGGAAATTTAACACAAGCCCTTGTTTATTAAAAAAAAAAAGTTGGCGCACGCCATTAATCCCAGCACCCGGGAGGCAGAGGCAGGTGGATCTCTGTGAGTTCGAGGCCAGCCTGGTCTACAGAGTGAGTTCCAGGACAGGCTCCAAAGCCACAGAGAAACCCTGTCTGGAAAATGGGAAAGGCGAGGTATAGTGCCTGTAATACAGGAATGATGCCTGGCTGAAACCCAGAGTGCAGACCCACTGACTCTGCACTGGCATGCTGGGAAGTTCCCAGTCTGCCCCGAAGCAAGGCCTCCATGTCCCTGTGCCCACAGCTGCACACCTTACCATTCCACACCTCCTTCCAACAGTCAGCAACACCGTGTAGGAAGCCAGGTGGTGGTGACACTCACCTGTAATCCCAGCACCCGGGAGGCAGGTGGATCTCTGTGAGTTAGAGGCCAGCCTGTTCTACAAAGAGAGTCCAGAGACAGCCAGAGCTGTTACACAGAGAAACCAAACCGCAAATTTAAAACAAAAATGTGCAGGGTATTTATGCTTTGAAATTGTAGTACCTTTCTCCATTTACCTGGTGGCTCCCTGAGACAATGGATGACCCATGTAGCAATTGTGGTGATGGCAGAAAGCCAACTTAGAGTTAGAGAACAAACCCTGACCTAGATATGAGCCCGTGTCCCACTAAGGAGCAGAATGGCAGGGGCTGGGAGCCTGCTCTCTGCGGGACTGTCTTCCTAAAGAACAGAGGGGCCAGAAAGTGCACAGACCTGGGACCGTCCCTTAATAGCCGACCCCTCGGCTTTGCAGACACTGCTGTCCCCTGTCACCTCTTCCTGCAGCCATGGTTAACCCCACCGTGTTCTTCAACACCAAGGCCGATGGTGAGCCCTTGGACCGAGTCTCCTTCGAGCTATTTGCAGACAAAGTTCCAAACACAGCAGAAAACTTTTGCGCTCTGAGCACTGGAGAGAAAGGATTTGGATATAAGGGTTCCTTCTTTCACAGAATTATCCCAGGATTTATGTGCCAGGGTGGTGACTTCACACGCCATAATGGCACTGGTGGCAGGTCCATCTACAGAGAGAAATTTGAGGATGAGAACTTCATCCTGAAGCATACGGGTCCTGGCATCTTGTCCATGGCAAATGCTGGACCAAACACAAATGGTTCCCAGTTTTTTATCTGCACCGCCAAGACCGAGTGGCTGGATGGCAAGCACGTGGTCTTTGGGAAGGTGAAAGAAGGCATGAACATTGTGGATGCCATGGAGCATCTCGGGTCACGGAATGGCAACACCAGCAAGATCATCATTTCCAACTGTGGGGCAACTGTAATTCTCTTGACTTTCAGGCTTGTTTGTTTGTTTTTGTTTTTTGTTTTTCTTGTTTTTGTTTTGTTTTGTTTTTTGAGACAGGGTTTCTCCGTATTGCTTTGGAGGCTGTCCTGGAACTCACTTTGTAGACCAGGCTGGCCTCAAACTCACAGAGATCCGCCTGCCTCTGCCTCCCAGGTGCTGGGATTAAAGGCGTGCGCCACCAACACCCAATGCCCAGCGACTTGCAGGCTTCTTACCTACCAGACCATTCTCTCCGTAGCTCAGGAAAGCATCCCCTTCCCATCTGCTCACAATGCCCTGTAATCTCTGCTCTCACTGACATTCTTTGGGTTCCATATTTTCCTCATTCCTCTCCAAGTCTAGCTGGATTGCAGAGAAGTTTATAATTATGAATAAACCCTAAGTAAAAACTAAAAATTAAAAAAAAGAGCCGACCCCTCATTTATCTTAACTCTAGTTTGTAAGAACATGGCCTGCTATCAGTCCCTGGCTCACACACATCTCTACAGTGACCCCCTTTACCCCCGCAAGAACCTTTCTCTAGCCACGAGGAGGCTGCACCTCTTTGCTCTGCTTAGAAAAGGACAAGATCTGTACTTTGGAAATCAGTATGGAGATTCCTCAGGAAAATGGGATTCAGTCTACCTAAGATCCAGCAATTCCACTCTTAGGCATATACCCAAAGGATGGTACATTTACACAATTGAGTACTACTCAGTGGAAAAAAAAACCAATAGAATCTTAAAATTTGCAGGCAAATGGATGGAAATAGAAGAAATCATCTTGAGTGAGGTAACCCTGTCACAGAGAGACAAGCATGAGCCTTCATCCAGTAGCTGATGGTAGAAGCAGAGACCCATAGCTAAGCACTGAGCCGAACTCCTGGAATCCAGTTGTAGAGAGGGAGGAGTGATGAGCAAAGGGGTCAAGACCAGGCTGGAGAAACCCACAGAAACAGCTGACCTGAACAAGGGGGGAGCTTATGGACCCCAGAGTGATAGCTGGGAAACCAGCATAGGACTGAACCAGGCCCCCTGAATGTGGGTGTCAGTTAGGAGGCCTAGGCATTCTATGGGGCCGTAGTGTACGAACAGACTTTGGGAGCCCATTCCCCATAGAGGGATACTCTTTCAGCCTAGACACATGGGGGAGGGCCTAGGCCCTGCCCCAAATGATGTGACAGACTTTGATGATCCCCCATGGAAAGCCTCACCCTCCCTGGAGAGCAGAAGGGGGATGGTGGGTTGGTGGGGGGGCATGGGAGGGAGAGGGAACTGGAATTGAGTTGTAAAATAAGATTGTTTCTAATTTAAAGAAAAAAAGGGACAAGATCTGCTGAGCTAATCCAGATCCGCTCTCCAGAGCATGCCTCTGAGCACTGTTCTTGACTTCAGCTGTGTTTATCTTCTTCCACGTGACCGGTTTCATCCTCATGCCCCTCCCAAGTACTGGGATGGCAGGGCATGTGCCGCCGTGACCAGCTCATGGTGCTAGATATCAAACCCAGGGCTTCATGCCTGACAGACAGGTACTCTATCAAATGAGGCGCATCCCAGACCAATTTTTTTTTAAAGATATTTACTGGGAATGATGATGAATGCCTTTAATCCCAGAAACATCAGTCCAACTTCAGCCTAGTTGGCAAAAATTCTAGGCCACAACTACATAGCCAGACCCTATCTCAGAAGTATATTTTTTTTAGTTGGGCGGTGGTGGCGCACGCCTTTAATCCCAGCACTCGGGAGGCAGAGGCAGGTGGATCTCTGTGAGTTTGAGACCAGCCTGGTCTACAGAGGGAGTTCCAGGACAACCTCGCAAAACAACAACAACAAAAAAAGAAGTATAATTTTTAATTATGCTTATGCCCATGTCTTTGTGAGGGGTATGTCCGCAAGTGAGGTGCATCAGACCCCTCTGAGCTCAAGTTGCAGGTGGGTGTAAACCATACAATGTGGAACAGGGCCCTGGATATGCTGGGTCTCAGAGCCAGCTCCCCAACCCCCTTCTCTCCCGAAACCACCTCAGGTTTGTTTGTTTGTTTGTTGTTTTTGAGACAAGGTTTCTCTGTGTAACATCCCTTAGCTGTCCTGGAACTAGCTCTGTAGACCAGGCTGCCTCTGCCTCTCGAGTGCTGGGATTAAAAGCGTGTGCCACCGGGCGTTGGTGGCGCAGGCCTTTAATCCCAGCACTCAGGAGGCAGAGGCAGGTGGATCTCTGTGAGTTCGAGGCCCAGCCTGGTCTACAAAGTGAGTTCCAGGACAGCCTCCAAAGCTAGAGAGAAACTCTGTCTCGAAAAACCAAAAAAAAAAAAAAAAAAAAGGTGTGTGCCACCACCACCCAGCTCAGGTATTTCTTAAATGTTGAGCTCTTTCAAATGGAATTTCAGGAAAAAGTCGGATTTATTTTTTACTTATGGGGAAGTGAATACAAGGCCTAGGATGTGCTACTCAAAAATTCTACCAAGCTACAGACCCTGCTATTACTTTTTTTAAACTTGTTTTGCTTTTTTATGGCTTTTTCTTTTAATTCCTCTCCATCTTAAAATATTTGTAATGCAGGTAGAGATGGCAGAGGCCCAGGGCTCAACTTTCTGAGTTTACAGGACCCCATGTTCTCCTGGGAAAAGGTGGAAAGTAAGAGCAACTAAGGAACTTTTATTTGGGGCAACATCTTATTACAAAGATATTCTTTGTGGCTGGAGATGGCTCAACAGTTAAAGAACACTGGCTGCTCTTCCAGAGGACCAGGTTCAATTCCCAGCACCTACATATGACTTACAACCATGTGGAACTCCAGTTTCAAGGGAGTCTTCTGGTCTCTGTGGGCACCAGTCACACACAAGGTACACAGACATGCATGTAGGCAAGGCACTCATTCATAAAGAAAAAAATGATTCTGTTAAAAAATGTCTAAAAGAAAAATGTTCAGTGCTCGCAAGTGCCTGTAACTCCAGCTCCAAGGATCCAACACCCTTTTCTGGCCTCCACCAGCACCAGTATGTGTAACAAATATACACATTAAAAGAAAAATCAGGTCGGGCGTTGGTGGTGCATACCTTTAATCCCAGCACTCAGGCAGGCAGATCTCTGAGGATTTGAGGCCAGCCTGGTCTACAAGAGCTAGTTCCAGGACAGTCTCCAAAGCAATACAGACAAACCCTGTCTCAAAAAACAAACAAACAAACAAAAAAACCATGTGCACACGTGCATGCATGGACAGGCTTGGGTGTGTGTGTGTGTTTGTTCTTAGTATGAAACAATGTAAAGAACCAGGAACAGCTCACAAGTCCATGCTGGGACTAAAGGCATGCGCCACCACCACCCGGCTCACACTTACATTTTTAAAAAGAAAAGAGGTGGGGTACTATCCTGTTTTGCTTTTCTCTTATGGTAAGAAAACATTCTGACAAAAAAACAGCTCGGGAAAGAAAGGATTTAATTTTTTTTTTTTTGGTTTTTTTCGAGACAGGGTTTCTCTGTGTAGTTTTGGAGGTTGTCCTGGCACTCGCTCTGTAGACCAGGCTGGCCTCGAACTCACAGAGATCCGCCTGCCTCTGCCTCCCGAGTGCTGGGATTAAAGGCGTGCACCACCAACGCCCGGCGAAAGGATTTAATTTTGATTAAAGGTCACATTCCATTATCAAGGGAAGCCAAGGCAGGGACTCAAGTGGAAACCTGGAGTTTACGGAGGAATGCTTACTAGACTGCTTCCCTTGACTTGCACAATTATATTTCTTATACAGTCCAAGCCCACCTGCCAATGAAAGACCCCTACCCAGGGCCCCCCTAGGAAAAGAAAAGCAAGGCCAAGCCGTTGCCTAATGAAAGAAACCCAGACCAGGTGTCTCACCCTCAAAACAGGATGTCTGTGATCACTATAGCAGTCATGGGACCCAGATAATAATTGCTGAAGCATGCTGGGAACTTTCATATGACAATACTAGAAAACCTAGTCCTTGGCAACTACCCTGGCCCCCAATTGTGTCTGATCACTATAGCAATCATGGGACCCAGATAATAATTACTGAAGCGTGCTGGGAACTTTCATATGACAATACCAGGACACCTAGTCCTTGGCAACTACCCTTGCCCCCAGTTGTGTCTATGATCACCATAGTAGTCATGGGACCAGGATAATAATTGCTGAAGTATGCCTGGGTCTTTCATAAAGTAATACCAGGAAACTTAGTCCGTGGGAACTACCCCTGCCCCCAAGATGAGCCAATGAAATGCCTGTTACTTATGTAACCATTAAAACTCTATAAATATTGTACTCCCTGAAAGCCCGGTATGCTCTGCACCCGAGTTGCAGGAGCATCCGCAGGCGCCTGTGTACTCAATAAATCACCTCTTGCATTTGCAGCCAGTGGTGGTCTGGCCCTGGTTCTTGGGCAGAGGGTTCAGTTCAGTGCCCGGCGCTTTGATGCCGAGGTCTTTCACCTGCAGATGTCACCACCCTCCCACATCAATGGGCAATTAAGAAAATGCCTCACAGACATGGCAACAGGCCAGTGTGAGAGGGCAATTTATCAGTTGATGTTCCATCTTCCCAGCTGATTCTAGGTTTGTGTCATGTTGACAGCTGCAGCTAAGAATGATGGGTACCCAGCCCGAGAAGGAAGCAGAGGCATCCCTGCAGCAGCAGTTCTTCCTGCCAATCATGTAGTCTCTCGTTCAGGTGAGCCTCTGAGGCCCCTGTACAACAGCAGAAACTTTAAAACAAAGACGCTCGGTGTCATAATTCTTGGCTAGACTATCTGACGAAAGAGCAGCTTCTGCCACAGTGGCTCTCGACAGTCCCCGGTTGAAGTTAACCACGAACGGCAGCACTGGCAATGACCCTGGCAATAGAAGAATGGGGAGAGAGGGGTCTGAAGCGCCTACTTTTGGGAACCTTCACCCACAATGGGGACATGGAGAAGATTCTTCTAGACACACATGATGAATTAGAGCAGAGCAGCTGGAGAATTGGTTCTGTTATGTCCCTTCAGCACCAGAAGATGGGCAGCTCATGCCTGCCATGGAGATGCATGCCAATAGGCCCCACAGCTCTCAGTCAGGAGTTGTACAAGAGATGGAGAGTGGGAAACACTGCACCCAAGTTCCACTTGAGACACCCGGAGCATGCTACGCCTCTAAACATGAGGAAAACGAAGCCAGTAAGGGGCTGTTTTCTTTGCAGTTCCAAAAAGTGTTTATCTCCCCACTAACCCACCCCATCTCTCTTTCTAATTTTGGCTTTGGGGCTATGCATCTATAGAGGAAACGCTGAGCACACTTTCCACCAGCACCCATCCAGGGGAGTAAAAGCCCCTGGAAATATGGGTGGCCTGTGAAGGGGTATATTGTCACAGTAGCTAATTTCAACCTGAAGCCACTGCAAGCATAACCCTAATTTCCCATGTCCAAGTCTAGTAACTCTCAAATTCAGTATTTTCTTCATGTTCTTTGGAGGGGTTAGCTAACCCTTGCCCCCGTTTTGGTTGATAAGACACTTTAGAATCAACAGTTTACTGCTGCTTGGGGTTTCTTTTCTGCAAACTGATGGCAGCAGATTACAATTTTGTTAACAATACCACTGTCTCCTATTAGTCCCTAGAATTAGACCTGGATCAGTATGTTAAATGGGGGGAAAAGGAGAAAAAGAACATAATTATAAAACTGGAGCAGGAATGCTTGTAATCCCAGTTTTTGGAAGAAAGAGGCAGGTAGATCAAGAGTTCAAGGTCATCCTTGGGTACAGAGTTTGAGACCAAAGATACTGTCCCAACAAAAGTATACATTTTGTCTTTTGCTTTGTATTTTGAGAAATAGTCTCTTGGTATAGTTCTAGCTGTCCTGGAACTTCAGTAGATAGACCAGGCTGGCCTTGTATTCAAAGAATCTGCTTACCTCAGCTTCCTGAGTACTGAGATTAAAGACATGTATCATCATACTCGGGTGATTTTTTGGTTTTTGTTGTTGTTGTTGTTGTTGTTTGTTTGTTTTGTTTTTTTGGTTTTTTGAGATAGGGTTTCTCTGTGAAACAGTCCTGGGCTGTCCTAGAACTCAGTCCATAGACCAGGTTGGCCTTGAACTCACAGAAACCCTCCTGCCTGTGCCTCCCGAGTGCTGGGATTAAAAGGATGCACCACCACCATCCAGTTTTACCATCCAGTTTTTTGTTTTGTTGGTTTTTCTGAGACGGTGGGTGTGTGTGTGTGTGTGTGTGTGTGTGTGGTCTTGGCTATCCTGGAACTTGCTCTGTAGAACTTGCCTTTAACTCAGAGATCCACCTGCCTCTGCCTCCTGAGTGCTGAGACTAAAGGTGTGTGCCACCACTACCCAGTTTTTTATTATTTTCTTTTTTAGATTTGCATTAGTGTTTTGCCAGCATGTATGTCTGTGTGAGGGTTTCAGAACTTGGAGTTACAGTGGTTACCTGGCATATGATTGTTGGAAACTGACCTGGCTTCTCTGGAAGAACAGTCAGTGCTCTTTTTTTGTTTTGTTTTGTTTTTTGTTTTATGAGACAGGGTTTCTCTGTATTGTTTTGGAGGCTGTCAGTCCAGCCTGGCCTCGAACTCACAGAGATCCACCTGCCTCTTCCTCCCGAGTGCTGGGATTAAAGGCGTGCGCCACCACCGCCTGGCCAGTACTCTTCTTAAAAGTCTCACCCCTTATGTGCATACTTCTGTATCTGTGTGAATGGATGCCATGTGTGAGGTGTGCACTTATGTGTATGCTTCTGTATCTGTGTGAATGGATGCCATGTGTGAGGTGTGCACTTATGTGTATGCTTCTGTATCTGTGTGAATGGATGCCATGTGTGAGGTGTGCACTTATGTGCATACTTCTGTATCTGTGTGAATGGATGCCATGTGTGAGGTGTGCACTTATGTGTATGCTTCTGTATCTGTGTGAATGGATGCCATGTGTCAGGGGTGCTCTTGGAGCTGTAGTTACAGAAGGTGAGCCACCAGACACAGGTGCTACGAACTGAACTGGGGTCTTCTGCAAGAGCACCATGTGCTCTTCATCTGAGACATCTTTTCAACCCCAGTAGGTATTTGTGTGTGTGCAGGTTTTATTTCTTACTCAGGCTCCTTGATATCAATATGTATCAGGAGAAAACCTTGATATCCTAGTCCTGTTGCTGCCACCTCCCAAGTTTCACTTGTGTTTTTTTCCTCAATATACACGTTGGAAATGCTTGCTGTCTGTTCTGCACGGTCAGGTGTGTACAAAATGTTGTGCAGAACACCCTTGTCCTCCCCAACTTAATAGTTTAGCTCAAGCCAAGAAATGTAGAAAAGGGCTTCAGAATGTGTTGAAGGCTCCACTAGGGTAGCTGCTGTTGTGGGATATTTGTACACTGTGTGAAGATATATTGCTGTGACTTATTTAATAAAGAGCTGAACAACCAATAGCTAGACAGGAGATATAGGCAGTACTTCTGGGCAGAGAGAGGAAGTAGGAGATTATCCAGGCACAGGGGAGATGCCAGGAGCAAGCAGGATGTGCAGGAGGTAACAGTCACAAACCATGTGGCAGAACACAGATTAGTATAAATGAGTCTATTTAAATTAGAAGAACGGAGTTAGAGCCGGGCGGTGGTGGTGCACACCTTTAATCTCAGCACTCAGGAGGCAGAGGCAGGCGGATCTCTGTGAGTTCGAGACCAGTCTTGTCTACAAGAGCTAGTTCCAGGGCAGCCTCCAAAGCCACAGAGAAATCCTGTCTCGAAAAACAGAAAAAAAAAAAAGTTAGAAACAAGCTTAAGCTTTAAGCCACTCTTTGATAATAAGAAATCTCCGATGGGCAGTGGTGGCACACTCCTTTAATCCCAGCACTAGGGGGGTAGAGGCAGGCGGGTCTCTGTGAGTTCGAGGCCAGCCTGGTCTACAGAGTGAGTTCCAGGACAGGTTCCAAAAACAATATAGAGAAACCTTCGGAAACCCCCCCCAAAAAAAAGAAATCTCCATGTCATTATTTGGGAGCTGGTGGGACAGCATTTTTCACAAGCTGCTATTAGTAACTTAGACATTCCACATTGGACACTGAGCCTTGCATATGCTAAGCAAGTGGCCTACAACTAAACTATGTTCCAGCTCTCCTTTTGTGTGTTCAGTCTGTCTCTTAGTGGTGAGGCTGTCCCTGAACTCTCACCCCAGTCCAAGCAGACCTTGCACTTGCAGTCTTCCCACTGGAAGCATCTGCAGAGAAAGGCCTGCACCATCAGGACCATCTGACATTGTACCATAAACAGCATTGTACTGACTAAAAGAGAAAATGTTAGTTCCTTAAAAGCATAAGGGAGGAGCCGGGCGTGGGTGGTGCACGCCTTTAATCCCAGCACTCGGGAGGCAGAGGCAGGCGGATCTCTGTGAGTTCGAGGCCAGCCTGGTCTACAGAGCGAGTTCCAGGACAGCCTCCAAAGCCACAGAGAAACCCTGTCTCAAAAAAAAAAAAAAAAAAGCATAAGGGAGGGAACACTAAAAGTTTCCTGGAACTTTATTTATGCTGCGTGTGTTTAAGTCTACACTGTACTTTTCACTGGGGCACAAATCAAGGAAAGAGGAAAATCCCGAAAACTGGATAAAGCTGGATGAAGGGTTACCATAGGCCTTGGTAACCTGGCACTCCAGACAGAGACTGATAAAATGTTTCACTTTTTGTTGTTGTTGTTTTTTGTTTTGTTTTTTCGAGACAGGGTTTCTCTGTGGCTCTGGAGTCTGTCCTGGAACTAGCTCTTGTAGACCAGGCTGGTCTCGAACTCACAGAGATCCACCTGCCTCTGCCTCCCAAGTGCTGGGATTAAAGGCATGCGCCACCAATGCCCAGCTCTCACTTATGTTTTTAAACACTCACTTATGAAATCTGAGACAGATTTTTTTTTTTTTTGGTTTTTCGAGACAGGGTTTCTCTATATTGTTTTTGGAACCTGTCCTGGAACTCGCTCTCACTTATGTTTTTAAGATTTACTTTTAGTTATGTTTAAGTGTGCCCATGTCAGATATGTGCATATGAGTTCGGGTACCTGAGGTGTCAGAGCCCCTGGAACTGAAGTTACAGGTAGTCATGAGCTTCTTGACATGGGAGCTGGGAACTGATCTCCATCCTTATTGGAAAAGCATTAAGTTCTCACCTGTTGAGCCAACTCTCTATCCCATATTCTTTTGTTGTTGCTGTTGTTCTTTGCTTGTTTTGAGACAAGATTGTATTTTTATTTTTATTTTTAATGGGAGGGGGATGTGGTGTGCACATGAGGCAGGTGCCCAAGGAGGCCAAAAGAGGGCAAATATTTCTCCTATACCAGGACAAAAATCTCAGAGGCTAAATCAGAAAACATGAGTGAGAAGAAAAATCTATTACTGCAATAGCTACAAAATCATTCTACTTCTGGTGCTTCTTCATTTTTAATTGAATTGTGTGTGTATGTGTCAGTGTCTTTGGAGGCAGAAGAGGGCATCATAATTCCTAGAGCTAGAGTTACATGTGGTTTTGAGTCATCCAATATGGATGCAGGGAATGGAATCCAGGCCCTCTAGAAGGAGCAACAAGTACTCCCAGACATAATTAATACTGGGTGTTTTGAGCCGGGCGTTGGTGGCGCACGCCTTTAATCCCAGCACTCGGGAGGCAGAGGCAGGCGGATCTCTGTGAGTTTGAGACCAGCCTGGACTA